ATGCCCCTTACAGTCAGTATGTGTTGTTCTGTGCCTGACCTGTTGTTTTTCTTCCCCCCCCCCGCCCCTTGCAGAGTGGAGAGACTGGAGAGGAAGAGAGTACAAGAAAGTAAGCAGGCACATAATGGGGAATACACATTGAAAGGAATGTGGTAGTGCTGGCAGCCCTGAGTGTGCTCGGGGCTGGGAGCAACAAGCGCATTACGCAAACAGCCTGGTGTATTCTCCATTGTGTGCCTGCTTACTCTCTTCTAATCCCTCCCTTGCTTTCTGTGAGGGGGGGGGAAAAGAAAAAAGCAATTTGTGTAGGCAGTCTCTCCTGTGCCTGACCCATTTTTTTTTCCCCCCCCCCCCCCCCCGCCACAGAGCAGAGAGATTGGAGAGGAAGGGATTACAAGAGAGTAAGCAGGGACACAATGGGGAATACACCTGGCTGTTTGCACAGTGCACTCGTGGCTCCCAGCCCCAACTGCACTCAGGGTTGCCAGTGCCACCGCATTGCTTTCAATGTGTATTCCCCATTGTGTGCCTGCTTATTCTCTTGTAATCTCGTCCTCTCCAATGGACGTAAATGCAAACATTAATTCCTTTCTTGCTAAGTGTCCCAGTGCTGTGGTGAGTATTCCAAAGGCTGGGGGAGTGGGGAAAAGGAAAGCACAGTCATAGTCATGTGATTTCCTACTTAGTGACCACTTTGCTTAATGACAGAGCTGCCAGTCCCAATTGTGGTCACTAAATGAGGACTATATATGCCAAGTAGTTTTCTTAAAGTTTTGAATGCCATTGTGTCCACATCTTTAGGAAATGAATAATGGAAAGGAAGCAGGAGGGGTTCACCAGGGACTGGAGGGTGAGGGTGTGTGCCTACATAAGCCTGATACACCCACCCAACAAGTGCCTCTCTCAGCACTCCCACTACTGGTCACCTTACTTTGTCTGCAAAATAGTGGGTGGTAAAGCATAACACATTTTACACATTCTGAGGCTGCCACTGGATGGTTTCAGAATAATGAGGAAAACACTACTTTAACACCTGTATAGCTAGTGATGACTTAAACCTGTCTCATTCATGAACTGGGGACAAGATGAAGTGTCACGAGGACAAGGGGAAAATTGTTGATATCAAGAAATGTTTGTTGTTAAGTACTTCTGTTGTTTTTCCTGTTGCTGCTTTGACAATGTTCAAAGAGATGTGTGTTCTTCAATGAAGAACTCCCCTCTGAAAGAAGAAAGGAATTATAAAACAAATCAGGAATTGCAAAACAAATAATTACAGTCACTTTTTTGTAAGGTGTTATCCATGCATACATGTATATCAGCAACAAAGAATTGGCAGGAGCATGTTTGCAGAACTGCTGAGGGAGTTAAAAGTGGTTTGCAACTACGTGTATTTGAGTTCAAGTACAGTGGATTAAATTTTGCTAGTTTCTTGTAGAATCATGGAAAAGAGGCTTTGGGGGACCCCAAATCCACCCATTGCTTGGTATAGGGCAGTGTTTCTCAACCTTGACAACTTGAAGATGTGTGGACTTCAACTCCCAGAATTCCCCAGCCAGCCACTAGGGTCTCTAGTGCAAGAGGGAACTGCAATACTCCTGGCTTTGCTGTCCAGCCACTGTCTTTCAAGGCAGTTGTTTCTAGGAAAACAGCTGTTATCACTGGGCAGGTTGCCTTAAAAGTTTGGTGAAATTTGTTTGCCTTGTAATTTCCACAAATTCTTTAGTTTTGCCCTCTGGAGCAAAAAAGAAAGCATCTGAACCATTGTGTGCATAAAAGGATCTGTTGATTTCTAGATTCCCTCCAAGTCAGCACCTTTTCATGCATCTTTTGGTCACAAATTGGATTTTTTTCTCAGCAAAGTTCTGTCCATGGAATTTTATTTTATTTTATTGTAACTTGAGTTGGTATAAAAGTAATAAAAAGTTTATAGTTGACCTGGTTCCTTCCAAATGTGTTGGACTACAGTTCCCATTACCCCAACCAGGATAGTCTAGATTACCCTTTCCCTATCTGGTACAATCTGGGTGTGTATGGAGCATAATTTCCAGAATTCCTAGCCAGCGTGGCTAATTCTGAGAGTAGCTGTGTCAAAGACAGCTTTAGGATGGGGAGAGTTGGGCTAGATATTGCATTACCACTGCTGCCATTTAGGGCATCATAACTCTGCCTCTAGCGTAAGATAAAACTGAATGATGATTCAGAAGTTGGAGTAAATATATTCTTCTTTTCAGGTACTGGATGATCCTGCAGAGGACAATCTATACATGGGTGAGTAATGGATAAGAATATAAGAACGGCTCCGCTGGAGCAGACCAACACTCTGTCTAGTTCTCACACCATATTCTTATTTATCCTGAAGGAGAGTAATCTTTTGTGGGGGGCTGGGATCACGTTCAAGTATATGATAATGTGTCAGCCCCAGTAGACAGATCAGACCAGGAAATCTACTCTGCAGGAAGGCTAAAACTACTTTTATTGAGATTGGCTATAACAGAATTTTGCAAGTCTGATTGTGCCGTATCTCCTCCTCCCCCTTATACCCCAGTGAATTAGGGAGATGTCTGTCTGTCAGATGCTTCTGAATATTATCTCGTTCTGGACTTAAAAAAGGTTTCAGCCCCTTTTGCCTAGGTCACAGTTCCTTAATATCTCCATCAAGGTCATCTTCCTTACCGTCTACATGATGCCACTAGCTATGTGGGGCTGATTCTTTTCTGCCCATTTTCATTGTTGTTTTTCTTACAAAAACATGATCTTTCCCTCTTCCCCTTCCCTCGTAAACTGAATTCAGTTCAGCAAACCTGGCTTGGTTTTTTTTTTAAAAAAGAGTTCTCTAATACATCACAAAGAGGTACCTCTGGTTTAGTGATGTGGCAGATCAATATTTCCCCTGCAGAATTCTCTAGAGTGGAGTCAGGAAATACTGCTGTCAGTATTTTAGTGGCTTCAGAGTGGTGCTGTGTGGTCATCAATATCTTTCTAAAGCCCTAGATGAGGTCAGTGCACCCTGTCACCTCCACTCTAGGAAGGGGGTGGCCACCCTCAAACCCTGGTCTTCATACAGCCCACTGTTCCTAATTTGTGGCCCCCACAGCACTCTGAGATCACACCACTGAAATTCTGCAGAAAAATATGTAATTTTTCCGTGAACAATTTTCAGCTTTGTTTTTTTTTCCTCACTTAAATTAGACTGGAAATAGATCTAAGACAAAATGAACCTATTTCCATTGATAGTCCTCAAAACTGCCGTTAAGGCAAAAGAAAAAAAGTCAGAGATGTCACCTTGTCAAAGATGTCACCTTGTCACCAGACACAGTCATCAGTGGCCTTCAGAAGCTAACCTTTGTAAAAGGGCGGTTCCAGGCAAATAGGTTTTCCCTTTGCTGTGGGAACGCTGGGAAATCAAAGTGATGGTTGCCCCATTTTCTACAAATGGTGTTGCTACCCAGACTTTGAAAACAGTTGATTATAGAAATGAAAACTTTTCAGTTTGGAGCCCTCAGTCCCTTTATGAAAATTAAATTTAAATTTTGTGTAAATTTAGTGCTATAAATGCTAGTATCTTTGTTGGTTTTTCCTGCAAAACATTCTTCCAGCCAATTTTAAACTTAACAGGCCTTTTCTGTAGCATCTTAGAAAGATGCTTTGTATTAGAGATTGGATAGAAATCAATTCAGGGAGGGTTGCATCTTTAAAAGTACATTGGTTGAGAGCTGCCTTTTTTTCCCTTCTTTTGTTCCCTCAGTGTTTGACCTCCTCCGAAAGGGGTAAGTAGTCTATAACAGACAACGACTGTGTGAATCCCACATTACGGGGATTGAAGCCCTACACTTTTGTAAGGCAGACTGTTGGAGAGACTGACACATGACATGATTGTGAGAGAGTGTAACAAATGATTCGAAACTGGAATTGGAATCACCTTTTAGAAGCTCTTACCTTTATAAAAACTAAACAGAAGCAAGCTTCTGTCCATTATGAGTGCCAAGATAGGGTAGAAAGTGCATGGATGATTCCTGTTGAAATTTCTCAACCATCACCTGCCCCTTGGAGACTTACTCAGCACTCATGTCCTACTCAATGTTATGCTTTTCATGGTATCAACTCACCCTTGACGGGTTCACATTGGGCTATGTAGTGCTGGCATCATGAACAGGGTGTCAAAGTTCATTGCATAACTGTTGAATAGGCCTGAAGTTCTGCTCAGCATCATCATCTCCTGGATGAACTATATCAGCAGCATTAAAATCATTGGATCACTAAGCAGGACTTTGAAAAGATGGGCATGGGTGCCATTTTGGCTATTTTGACATCTCCTCTAGACTCTGCTTCCACCTACAGTGAACCTCCCAAATCCTTGGGAATCCAGTGAATCCAATGCTTGAAGGGATGTCACACAGAAGACAGTGTGGATTTATTCTCTCTAGTGCCTGAGGGTAGGACAAGGATCCATGGGAGAAGCTTTACAGGGACAGATCCAACTCAAAATGAGGAGTAATTTCCTGACTGTGACAGAGATTAAGCAATGGAACAGCCTGCTTCTTGGAGTCACGGGCTCCATCACTGGAGATTTTCAAACAAACAGTAGGACAGCTCTTTGTCTGAGATGGTTGAGGATTGCTGCCGTGGGCAGGGGGTAGACTTGAACACCTCCAAGACCCCTTCCATCCCTATGATCTATGAATCCCTCTCCCCCATTCTTTTGGACTATAAACTGGGAGGAGGTGGCCTGAGTTGCTATGCTTTGATTGGCAGTTCCATCACCTAATCATCCCATAAACTATATCATTCTACAGTTTGGCATTTATAAAAGCAATAAATAACAATCAGTGCCAAAAATAAAAATAACCCCCAATGAAACATCACAAAATGATTAATCGAACAAGCCTCACAAGCTTACATCATCAGAATAATTAAAAATACAGAAGAGAATGGCTGTTAAAATCTGGCAAAGCACTCAACTTCATCTTCATGCCCTATTTTTTAGGCCTGTCATGGAGGTGCCGTGTGACGCCCCTTTTTCCGAAGAACAAGCTTGGCTCTATTTCAGAGACATTGTCTTGGGCATTGAGTACTGTGAGTATAAAGCAACGAAGTTGTTGTTATTGACGGATTTTTTTTCTTTGATGCACCTATTGCCCTTCTACTCAGACGATACTCCAGCAAATGAACCATAATTCATTTTCACTCAACGTTTCCCTTGAGATAAAACAAGGCCCAGTAAAAGTTGGCGGAGGTTGAAGAGCTCCAAAATCATTTTCAGAGCAGGCTCAGATCAAGTCAATTTCTCAACTTTTGGGAGGCGAAGCACTTTTTGCTGTGACAAATCCATCAGTCTACATAACCCTTATTTTATTTTTTATTAAAATATATATATCATTTTCTGAGCAAAAGGTGGTTTATAATAACGTAAGTCAAGGTTCAGCAGCCTTTACTGCTAGAGTGGGCACTACAATATCATGTAATTTTGTACAATGGCACTGGCGCTGAAAAGTAAAAATAAAATGATAAGACTCTACAGTGAGTTGAATTCCATTCAATCATTCTGGGATTTTATTTATTTACCTAATCAATGTATAAGCCACCTCAGTCACTACAGCAACCCTAGGCAATATATAGTTATCTGAGGATTACCATTTAAATCCTACAATATCATGTAATTTTGTACAATGGCACTGGCGCTGAAAAGTAAAAATAAAATGATAAGACTCTACAGTGAGTTGAATTCCATTCAATCATTCTGGGATTTTATTTATTTACCTAATCAATGTATAAGCCACCTCAGTCACTACAGCAACCCTAGGCAATATATAGTTATCTGAGGATTACCATTTAAATCAACCACAAAGAGTATCGGTGATAAAAGAATGAAGAATCCACACCAGGGAAACAGCACAACTTTGTTTGTTTGTTTGATGGATTGATTTATATAGCTGCCTATCTCACATATGTGACTCTCAGCAGCTGACAGTAAAAATAGCTAAAATATACACAATATAAAAAATAAAAACATGTAGCAGTTGAGCATCAAACAACCATTAACTGTAGTTTTTAACTGATTTTTAATTGCTTTTAACGGTTGAACTTTGTGATTGTTAATTTGTGCTTTAATTGTGTGCGCTGCCCAGAGTCACATGCAAGTGAGATGGGCAGCCACACAAATTCAATAAATAATTAATTAACAGCCATTAACAAAGCCAACAAATGGGCTCTGTCCCACATCTGGGGCCCCAGACTCTGGCCCAATCTTTGCACGTTGGTTGATCATAATCAAATCAGTATCGAAGCTGAATATTCCCCCCAATGAGAGTGACCTCCAGTCCCTATCTATTAATTCTCCCAATATATATTTAGGCATCTCCTTGCAAACATTTCTACATGCAGACATGGCTGCTAATGCCCAGTTAACGACTTGGAATGTGCCAGTGTGTCTAAAAACCTTGCATTCTTTAAAAACCAGACCAAGCAACCATAACACTGTGAGGCTGAAACTGTTCCAGCTGGTGTGACAAGAATGGGAAATCAATGTTTTACCATCCCTCGCTTCTTTCTTGCTACAAACTGTAATGCCTATTGATTGCATCCTGGAAAAACAGCAGCAGTTAATGTGGGGGCAGTCACCACAACCCTCCCTAGGGAGCCATTTCTGTCCCTGACTGGGACAAACAGGCTTAGAAAGAAAGGAAACCTGATACCTGTGGCTTAAACTGCAGGTAACCACAGGCAATTGTCAATCCCCAGCCTGTGCCTCCTAGAATCCCAAACCAATCCCATTGTGATTTTCTAGAAGCTCATTCTCAGTGCACCAAATTCAGTGCAAAGGGAAAAGATCTTGTTTACACTAGTTTTAGTTTGAAGGTTTAATTAAGCAGCTTCTGAACCTGTTTATTTAACACTGGGATGATCATATTATAATTATTTGTTATTACCATAGTCCTACAAATATTTATATCTCACCTGACACGCAGCATATCGAGACATTGAACAGCTGAAAAGAAAAACATAGTACCCGGAATAAAAAAATACAGTAATACAAATAGCAAGAAATGCAATACACAAATATAAAATGTTTTTTTTTAAAAAATCCAGCTATTTCATATATATATATATTGCATTTTTTAATTTTGTGTCATAAATATAAATTTAAAAAACATGATAAAACACCTCCAGGAATATAGCCAAGGTTGTAAATGTAAAGTCACACCATTGTGTTTAATGCATGCTGAGTAAAATATTTTCAGCATATGTCTAAACTGCAGTGAAGTCAGAACAAGCTTGTTTTCTGAACAGGATATTCCCAAGATGGAGCATCACAAGAAAAGGAGTCCACTGTGGGGCTGGGGCATTTTTTCAGTAGGCCTGGTATACATTTTCGGTAGAAATTTGTCAAGCTAACACTAGATTTGATGTCCAGCACTGGCCACATGCTCCCCTCTGCATAGTTAATAAGCCCCCATTTTCTTTGCAGTTCTAGTTTTCTTAGCAATAGCAGGGAAGAATAGTAACATTTACTTACTTACTTACCTGATTTATATAGTCGCCCATCTTGCAATCATAACTTGGGGCGGTGAACATATGAGTAAAAACCAATAAAAAATAATGACAATAAATGACACAATAATGGCATTTTTGGTGTTCTCTGAGCTTGGTTGTTTGCTTGCAGACGTTTTATTACCCAGCTAGGTAAAATCATCAGTGGCACAGTGACTCAATAATAACACAGTGGCACCCAAGGGCAGTCAACTCAACCACATAATTTGAGATAGCTCAGGCAAGAAGCACCAACCGTGAGTACTAACACTACCTTTATTGTAAGGTTACAGTAACAGAATCTTGCAAGTCTGAAAGTACCTCTCCCCTCCCTTACTTTTACTCTCCCAAAGACTAAGGACAGTCCCTTCTCAGATGTTTTCTCCACCCCCACCCCTCTTTCAGACTCAGATTTTGTTTATCAGACCATTGTCTAGGTTGCAGCTCTTCCTCCTGTCTCCCAAGGTCATTCCCACACACCGTTACATAACTACAGTCACGTCAAAGAAAACCACAATGTCAGCCACACCTGACCTATAGGCCCCATTCGTGGGGGAACATCCAGGTCTTCAAAAAACAATAAACCAGAAAAAAAATGTGAATAAGCTAAAACAAGCATTTTATATATGTATAAAATATAAAATGGTGACCAAACACAGTAATAAAACAACCAGGAGACTCTGCTGATCTAGACCCAAAAGCCTGGGGGAGAATGCTAGGTCTTAACAGCTTTCCTAAAGACAAGTTGGGCCTGTCATATATCTGGGAGAGATTGTTCCAGAGCATAAGGGCAACCACCAAAAAGGCATGCTTCCTAGGTCCCATAAGGCTTGTTGTTTGCAGTTTAAAGGGAGAACATGTGCTTTCCACACAAAAGGTTTCAGGTTCACTCTCAAATTTGGGCTGAGAAAGCTTTTCTGCAAGCCAGGCCTGGGCCAGGCAGTCTACAACTCCCCTTGCCCCTTGCCAGCACTGAATTTGGCCATGCTTACTGGTGATTAGACAGGTTGCAATCCAGCACAACTCGAGGGCCACCAGAACAGGGAAGGCCTGGGTAGGCAGTGCTGAACTAGATAGTCGGATTTGATATTATAGTTTCCTCAGTTCATTTGCCTTTTCTCGTTATACTTCTGTGGACCTAGCACAAACTGGCCTTGGCGTCTTTCTGCAAAGAAATCCTCTCTCTCAGATTCTATCCCCCCACCCCCCACTGTTACTTCCCCCTGCAGATTTCTTTTGATAGGTTCTAAGTCATTTCTCTGGTCTGCGACATGAAGCTGATAGTAAAGCAAAGCAGAAGCACCTTGAGATTGCTCTTTGTCCTTGAACTGCAGCAGACTTCTCCACTAATCCAATATAATGCAGTTAGCAGCAGTCTCAGCAGACATTGCAATGTGCTAATATAATTGAAACACATTTTCCTCTCCCCCTGCCTCCCCGAATGGTAGGGAGTTTGTTATGAGGCAAAGACATGTTGACAAAAGAAGCCATGCTATGGAGTGCCACATTCATCTGCCTGGCACCCGTCTGTCTGTCTGTCTGTCTGTCTGTCTGTCTATCATCTAATCTATCTTATCTATCTATCAATCATGCCAATAATCCAGGGATGTAGATTTCCATCAGTTCAAGGCTCATACACTTGGTATGATCAGAGACTGCTCTCCAAAGTGGGCAGGATCCAGACCCATTTGGGGAGGTTTCAGAAGTTGTAACATATGAAATAAAAGGGTTTTATTTGGGGGAGCTGCATAAAGCATGGTGGTTGTGGCTGGTCACATGAGGTCCTCTGGTTGCATTTTTGTACCCTACCATTTCTGTTACCACCTATACTTGTTTTAAACACGTGCAAGTGCCCCCTGGAAGCCACCAAGCCCAGGTTTTTTTCCCCCAACGTCAACACCCCAAATGTTGGAAAGTGGAAAAGAAGGCATGGCAAGAGTGGGACATTCCCATGGCTTCTGTGAGAAATTGTGAATCCAGGGAATGGATCCCTTGCCTTCTGACCTTCAGTCCTGCTGCTAATGTACTACTGAGAGCAATGGATGCATTACTGGCAGGATTTTGGTGAGAAGATTGGAGGTCACTGAGGAAGCATTCAAAATGCGCCCGGACAACCCAATGTAAAGGTTTGCTTGGGATATTTTGAATCAACATTTCATCTCCTTTACACTATGTTCTACTATAACCTTCTGATAAGAGGACATAACTTTAAGCAGAGTTTCATTCCTGGACTCTTACAGGAAAATAGGTAATTAGGAGGACTATATTTCATGTGGACATTTCCTATATGTTTATCTTTTGTAACAATATTTACCCTTGAGTAATTTCTCTACAGCATTTAAATTGTTTTATGTTTATACTGCAGCTAGTAAGGAGTATACTATACCTGATTCTCTTTTTGTCTTTGCTATTTATCTACTAAAAGCAACTCCTGCTTTTACTTCATTTCTGTCTTACCTTCGAGAATCCAGCAGGGCTTTGATTATGGCACAGACTCCTATATAAATCTTTTCTGTAATGAACAATAGGATTGCTCTCCTCTGGGG